AATATTTAATTTTTCTACAGCCCTAGACATCACATCCACCAGCTCCTCATATGCTGGGGAAACAGGTGGCAAATCTCTTTCCCCAGTGTGTGTGCTTAAACTGTCCATACTCATCGCATCAACCTCCTCAGAGGAAGAACAATGAAGTAATGGAGGGCTCTCTCCCCGGGCGGAAGAAGCCGCAGAGCGGGCTTCCGACACCGGGGGGAGAGCACTGGATCCTCCGGGTAAGGAAGGAGAAAAGGCCCTCGGACCCGTCTCCAACCCCTCCGAAAGATCCTTTTGCGATCCCCAGGAATGCATTCTCCGTGCTGCCTCGGCAGCAGCGGGTCCTGCACCCTGAGGATCGCGAACCTGACCACTCTCGTCAAAGAGTGACAGGCGAGAACGGAGCATGCTTAGCGGAAGCACCTCGCAATGCTGGCACTCAGCCCCCTCGAAGGCTGAGACCGCATGCTCCATTCCCAAACAAATAACACAAAGCTCGTGTGTGTCCCCACCCGTTAAATAACGCGGGCAGGGAGAAGCACACTGCTTGTACATTTGTTTCGCCATAACTCTTCCAATATAAATGCAACAGACAACAATAAATAGACAGAGACAGAGTAACACAGATCGCTTGCTGAGACACAGAAGCTAATGCCGGCTTTCACCGGATGTGCTTTTATCCCTTCCTGGTCATGACGTCACCCGCCCGTGACGCTCATTCTTTCCATTGGACTAGTTGACATTGATGCTCAGACGCATTCACGCTGGGGGCGTTCCCAAAGCGTCGATGACGCATCGCGAGTTCCCTCGAAAGGGAACTATAATTTTCAATGTCTTCAAAATCAATATTTTGATCGCTGACAGCTTCTTCACCAGATCCACCATCAAGTGACAGTGACACTAATATTTAAATGCATTCAATACTTGCTCTGCAGTAAATCACTGAGCCATTTCAAGTTTTGCTGATGATACTTCCTATTCTTTTGTTTTCTGCCTGCGGTAACTATGAGTGAAACATCCCTTCATCATTGTGTATCAGACATTGCCACGTTGTGGAATAAAGATAAATTGCACTTATTCAGTCATTAAAGATTCAATTATTGTTGTGCAGAAAAACATTACATACCTTGGGTTGTTAGCGACCCTATACAATTTTTACAAAAAATGAATGGGAAAACAGGCATTCTTTTATCTTTTTTTTTCTTGTTATAGGCTATTGTTTATAGTGAATTGATTGAGGAATACTAAGAAGGTTGATGTCTAACTTTAAAAAATGAATGAGGAGGAGGGTAGTGAATGAAGTCCCGGCTCACTAAAGACCCGAGGTATGCGTTTAAGGGTTAGCAAATATAACAAAAGTAAGTCCAAGCACAGGCAAAACAAAGTACATCCAAACATAGTGCGAAAACAGAACCAAAAGCAACACACGTGATGCATCCAGCTACTAGGTCAACACCAGACACTGAACAAGGGAAACACTGGGGTTGATGTACACAAGGGGTAATTGGCAAACAAGACACACCTGGGAACTAATCAACAAAGAAAACTACAAACTGATTACAAATATGATCAGAAAAAAACTAGAAATACAATATAAAAGTCAAAACAAACAGGGATGCAACATAAGGTAATTAATAGGAATTAATGTTCCTTAAAACAGTCTATATGTTTAATTTATATAGCATATGAAAATTACCATTTGCATATCCAAAAATTCTTGATCTATTAGAAAAAAGGAATATGTAATTTGTTGACAATATATGATCAAATAGAAAATTACTATTCATTGATTGTGGCTGGATTACAACAAATGGTTAGATACAGGGGTGCTCATTTTACCTCATTCTCTCTTATTCAAATACACCAAAATTTGCTTACATTTCATTATATTCTGTAGCAAATAGCATTCATAAACACACACTAATGAGTGGGAGAATCGTATGCAAACACAATTTGTATGAGCACAGATATTTATAGTTCCCCATGAACAGATGAAACAGATGAAAGTCAGGCTTGTCACTGTTGGGATCAAATGAGAAAATTCTTTAGCCTATTTTGCATGCTGTTTCATCAATCCAGGTATGGTGTTTCTTTCAATCATTTTATATTGACTTAAGTGTTAAATTCTTCATTTAACACTTCATCGTTCTGTTCATTTGAACTTAATTTGCTTAACTAACTCATTATTTCCTTTTTTTTCTAGCTCTGTACAACTATGTGTAATTCATCCTTACAAATGGACAATTCAACCTCCATATTCGATGAGACTCAAAAGTGGTTCATGTACTGCCTTTGTCAGGGATATTTTGGCACTCGTATCATTATTATCATTACAGCATTATCCTTATTTGTGGGAACACCGATCTATTGCTGGTCCTTCTGGTTGTTTCTCCGGAATGTCAAACCCAACTTGGTGTTTCCAATGAATGTCACTATAGTGGAGCTAGTGCTTTGTATTCAAAGCTTTGTATACTTAATTGATAATTATCTCTCAATGGCAAGCTATACATTTGCTTTGTTTCTCATTGGTCTCTGCTGGACTGTCAGACCTCTTCTCCAGATCTGCGTGTGTATTGAACATTACCTGGCAGTGATTCAACCAGTAACATTCCTGAGATATAAGGGCATCCAGTGCAGGATTGCATTGGCAGCGGCAGCTTGGCTGATTGGGGTGGGCAACAGCTTGAGGTTCATTTTCTCTGGAAATAACTTTTTCCCAGATCATATATTCTTTTTGGTTTTCTGGATTGCAGTAATAATAGCCTCTTTTTGCTGCATCTCTGTCCTTTGTGCTCTGAAGCGTCCAGGACCAGGCAATCGCAAGAATGAAGAGATGACAGAGAAAGACAGACACAATAAAACTGACAGAGGTAAAACGGCTGAGAACCAGCAGAAAAGGAAGGCCTTCAGAATCATCTCTCATATTTTAGTGTCTATCCTGGTTTGTTATTTACCTCACGTAGTAGCTTATTTTATGCTCATAGCTAATATCGGTAAGGAGACATACTTGTGTAACATTTTCCCGTTAAGTCTTTCCATCTCTGTGATTACTGTAATAATGTCACAATTATTCAGGATGTATTGTGAAGGCCATCTGAAGCACATAATGTGTTTATCAAAGCTTAGAGGACAAATAAAAGGCAAATAAGACAAACTGAAAAAAAGAAATGAGCTTCAAATATTATTACATTTTAGATTTCAAAACAGCTAAATTATGTGACATTATGAGTATAATAGTACTATTTGAGAGAGTAGAATCTGTATATTGAACACCTGCTAGATACATTTTATCATTTATATATGTGACAATAAAGTGGCATACTGTATATATACAGGGGTTGGACAATGAAGCTGAAACACCTGGTTTTAGACCACAATAATTTATTAGTATGGTGTAGGGCCTCCTTTTGTGGCCAATACAGCAACAAGTCCTGCACAGCGGCCAGAGGGATTTTGAGACCACTTCCAGAACAGTGGACAAGGTCACTATGTGATGCTGGTGGAGGAAAACGTTTTCTGACTTCTGACTTTGGCTCCTCCAAAACACCCCAAAGTTGCTCAAAAATATTTAGATCTGGTGACTGTGCAGGCCGTGTGAGATGTTCAACTTCACTTTCATGTTCATCAAACCATTCCGTCACAAGTCTTTCTGTCTGTATTAGTGCATTGTCATGCTGATACACGGCACACACTTCAGGGTACGTCTGGGCAGCAACAATCTGGGTGTTAAGCTTCTTTGGTGCTTCTACACTCCGTAACTCCCATGGATGTGGGAAAGACAGTAAAGTTGGACTCATCAGAGAACAATACATGTTTCACATTGTCCACAGCCCAAGATTTGCAGTGTTGAAACTGATATTTGTCACTGGTACAAGTCACCAAACTTTTGACTATAGCAACCCGACCATTAATATTGACTCTGTGAAGCTCCTGACTAAGAGTTTTGGTGGAAACAAGAGTCGAGGTGCGCATTTAATTCTGCAGTGAGTCGGGCAGTACCTGGACATCACTTTCAGACAGCTTGCGTCGACAGTTACTCCTGTTGGATGGTGGTCTTATGTGGTGGTATATCGACATTACCCTGGATATCATAGCTCTTGATACACCACAAAGTTAAGCCAGCGAGACGCGCACCAACAATTCGTCCTCTTTTGAACTCTGATATGTCTCCAATTATGCTGTGTGGATTGCAATATTTTATGTACAGCTGTGCTATTGCTCTGCTAATTCAACCTTCACATTCTGCTTTCACTGATGGAATGCAAAATCAGTGTTGTGAATCGTCCAACACTATATTGGCTATAGATAAAAAATAAACAGTTTTGCCTTTAGCCTTGCCCTTACGATATTCAAATGTGTACCGTGTTTTAATCACTAAGGAATAAACACAGCATGAATAAGGAAACTAATAAACCTACTGTTTTCATTTATATTTGTTGAAAATGGCATTGCAAGGAATCACTTGAACTTTTGTGTCTGCATGTTTGGTGCATGTGTGTGTGTATTTGAGAGAGAGAGAGAGAGAGAGTGACATTCTCTTTCAAGAAAGGTGGCATATGCATATCATATTGTATCAATATTTTTCAAAATGTGCATGCTTTTGAACTAAAAGCCTTAATGGAGTTATTTTATGCAGTCCTGTGATCACAAAGCAAGCAGAAGCAAAACATCCTTGTATAAGAACGGCAATACAAAAATTGTTGATCCTGAATGGGGATGATAACCACTATCAATTTGATAGATATTAGAACTTCCTTGTAAAAGAATAATGGGTAAAACAGAATCCGATGCCGAGAAGTCCAGGTCTAAGAAACCTTCAATCATGTGATCAAGTCGTTCATGCTAACCCACTCTTTGGTGCTTGACCCTTAATACAGTGATGATCATTAGTCGTTTTATTGTGTACTTAATATTGTTAAAATAATCAAGTGTGTAAGAGAGAGTGTGACTGCAGAGGTGCTGAGAAGGAAATGCTAGGGGGTGGTGTTGGGAGGGTGAGCAGGGTCAGGGGGATGAAAACATACTGAGGAGAAAGAATGTGTTACAGTGTGTGTCTGGCCATGTGAAGAGTGGGATAAGATTTACAGAGGGCGACAAAAGACATTTTGCTCTAGGAGTCAATAATCTGGAAGTACTTTGTAGTTTTTAGTGTTCATGTGCAATGATACATAATCAAGAGGAACAGTTATATCTGAAGTCTGAAGATTGACCCAATAATGAAGAATTCAATCCAAAGGAAAACAACCTCCAGCTCAACTATTGCTAAAGCCAACATGTGAGTATAGGGATAACTTTACATCTCCCTTTTGTATCTCATAATTACGAGTTTATTTCTCGAACTTGTGACTTTATATCTTAAGAATTGACTCTTTTTCTTGTGATTTAGATTTTTTTTTCCCTCAAAATTACAAATCTATATCTTACAATAAAACTTAACTTTTTTATTTTAAACGGTCTCTCAATTATAAATGTATTTTACTTTGAGGTTAATACATCCATTGATACACAACCTTTCCTTATGCAAATGTATCGCTAGAACAGTGGCAGTCAGATACCAAGATATATTTACCTGAAAAAAATTAGCATTATTATTCATTATAATAGCTTGGTTTTGTTTGTTTAATTTGTTCTTTTCTTTTTTTTTACTTTCAATTGAAAATCAGTCCTAAAAAGTTTTTCACATACAACACCTTAATAGGATAAGAAGCAATCAGTCAAAAGTCACTAATCACAAGCACAGAAATGTATGACGTGATCTGTTTTGGTGCCCAGCGAACAGTCTTGTCACCTGTTGCATTCCATTTTTAACATCCATTGTGAACTTAAACAGGACAAGTGTGTCAAGGTCTTGAATTTGTCCTCAAGTCAAAGTCGCATGCATGTTACTGTCTCTTGTTGTCCACGGGCTAACAACAGGCTGTAAAGTCTTTAGATTTATTCCCACATTGCAAAAAAATACTTAGTTTACCTCATACTTTATATTCAACTGGAGAATATGATATTTGCTTTTAATTCCTGGGTTACGCCAATTCAGGTTAATTCCACAGAATATAAACAATTATATATATATATATATTTAAAATTATGTTTTAGGTGATTTGAGTGCATTTTTTAATGAAACATTTTAGACCATTAGCATAGTGGCGGGCGTGTTGAAATGTATGGGTGAAGCAGGATTCCTCTTTCTGACCTTGTCCAATACCGTTCCTCATGGGGTTCATAGCTCAGATATTCAAGCACAGACCTCAGAGGTTATACTGATCTGGGTAACCTCTTTGAGGACGTCATGTACCAGAGTGACAGGATTCCCCCCACCTCCATAGTTGTTGCATATAGCTGTAACAGAGACCTGCATTTTTCAGGCGAGGCTTCTGTAATTCAGTACGTTTGGCCTTTTCGAGGTGCTGGGTCATTAACATATCTATGAGTTAACAACATAGATACTTCTGGTCTAGTTTCAGAATATGCTAAGACCCCACATCCTAGTAATACAGAGCAGAGGTTGTGCTAAGTTGTTCAACCATCACGTTTATGCTTAGTTTTGGTTTGCCCTTGACTGACCAGCATGGGCTGTTCCCATGTCCCCACCTTCCAGGAATGAAGACATGATGAATATCTATTCAGGCGTTGTAAATCAGATTATCTTAATAACTTAGCACCATCTGCTGAGCAACATGGCTTCAGGTCATCATACCATTACTGCAGTAAAAACAAAAATGTGTGCAATTATGTGCATATCATAATAATTATGATAATTATGATCATATCAATTACATTTTCATTTTCATTACATCTCTTGCTGTTAGTCCCAGTGAAAGTTGTTGAATGATTGAATCTGCTGAATATGTGAATCTGAACATACTTCTGGGAGTGATCCTGCATCAGATGAGCATCTAAAAATAAGATTTACCTAAATAGATGTGTGACCGATGAGTGAGAGAGACAGAGTGAGAAGGCTCAAATGATTTCATTAGGAAAGCAAGCTAGTGGTTGTTGATTCTCGTTGCACTTGGTATTTCAGTTATAGGCCAGGTGGATTAGAGCGCACTCAGGAACATGCCGATCTTCTATTAAATTATATGATGCTGTTCAGCTCATCTTAGAACTTCTCCAATAACAGAAAGCATAAATGCCTCTATGCTAGCATATCTTTGTTATCTAACCTCAGACACACTATTCATATGATGTTCCGGAGTCTTCTTACAGTTTCAACAATAACTTACCAAGGACAAACAGATCATTTAAAGTAGCCAATATTTCAACACAAAGGCCATATCCACACTAATACGTTTTACTTTTTCTCTCCGTTTTGGCCTTCTGTCCACACTGAGACGGCGTTTTTTTTAATAATAAAAACAATCCTTTTTGAAAACGCTCTTCAAAGTGGATACATTTGAAAACGCCGTTTTCGTGTTGTAGTGTGGACTGTCAAAATGGAGGTATTTAAAAACAATGACGTAAGTTTAGTCATGTGAGTGACGCATATTGTAGCTACCAATAAATATTCATGTTTATAGGCTACCGTTATTGTGCCTGTTATGTGCTATTCACTTTCACACTGTTGCTAAAAATGTTACTTTGCACACTCTTCATATCACAGTCCTGCAAAGATGACAGAAAATGTACTCACATTGCTGTCCTGCAGCAATATATGACTGAGAGCAGTTGCGTTTTAGACCAAACATATATGGTGAGTTGGTGACCGAGTCAGTGTGACCTAGACGCATCAGTGAATGGTGAGATATTTTGCTAAATAAAATTATCCTGCCAGAAGAATTGCGCGATAACTTTATTATTTATTTTTCCATCTCAGTGAGGTTTTACGCATGTGCAGTAAGGTGAATATAGCGCTTTCCGACGTTTCAGTGTGGATGAAAAACTTTTTGAAAACGCTGGTGTGGACTGAAAGCGTTTTCAAACGAAAATGCCGTTTTCAAATGTATCCGGATTAATGTAGTCTGATTGCTATCAGGATGTTAATAGATAGAGTTTCAACTAGCCTATAACAAAAAGTGTTTATGTAGCTAAACATTGGATACCCTACCTTTAAGATTTGAAGTATAGCCTACACTACAAGTGTATGGAGCTCGAAATGTGTCTTTATTACATGCGAGAAAATAAATGATCTGAGAGAAAAAAAAAAGTTTGAGAGAAAAAGTTATCACACTGATAGCAAAAAAATATTTCATTAGAGAAAAAATAATATTTGAGAGAAAAAGTTTTCATATCAATAGCAAAAAATAATATTTGAGACTAAAAAAAGTTTTGAGAGAAAGTATTTTCTCATAGAACATAAAAAAATATAAATTAGACATTTTTAAATTATTTCTGAGAAAAAAAATTTCTCTCAAAATACGTGTCAGGATTTTGCTTTTGCTGTGAAAATTGTGTTATGGGCGGGGCCACGTTCTTTTTTTCCTATTGGAACGTTCCTATTGGCCAGTCAGGTGAGCATCATCTTGTCTTGACCATTTCTGTGTGTCATCAACTTACTGATTTTTTTTCTCAGAAATAATTTTTAAAAATTCAAATTTATATTTTTTTATGTTCTATGAGAAAATACTTTCTCTCAAAACTTTTTTTAGTCTCAAATATAATTTTTTTGCTATTGACATGAAAACTTTTTCTCTCAAATATTCTTTTTTCTCTCATGAAATGCTTTTTTGCTATCAGTGTGATAACTTTTTCTCTCAAACTTTTTTTTCTTTCTCTCAGATCATTTATTTTCTCACATGTAATAAAGACACATTTCGAGCTCCATACAAGTGCACATTCAATACAATGTATCACTTATTTTTTCATCTAACAATGTAATTTCTCACAGGAAATCAACGCTTTTATATAAAGATATAGATTTTTTATATTTGTATTATTGATAAAGGGACTTATTTTTGAATGTCACTTTAGCAGATTGCTCTGTATATTAATCTGTTGTCCTTTAAACCAAGTTTGAACTGTGAACATGTGTGCACTCTCTTGAACAGATTTTTTGAATAATGCGTAGTCCAGGTTTTGTCAACCCCTCTTTTAAAAAATATAATTATTTATCGGATGTCACATTATTCAAAAATCAGTCCAGGAGAGTGCACACACACATGCAGGGAGCCATGGTGGCTGTGAATATATGACAGCTGTGTGGTACTTTACACTAGACAAATGTCTTTCACCTCTTACTCATGTTACGAGGACATGCTGTCACAGTGTTTGAAAAACACCCCGTTGGCGTGTTATTAATTATACGTAATGAAGTGAACACATGCCTGAGTGAAAGCCTCCACGAAGTTGTCCTTTCATGCTCTGTGGAGAATAATCGTCCATTCATTAAACTTTAAAGTATTTGTTTATGCATGTTTAACACCGGAGAACTATTTCACAGTTTGCTTGGAAGCTAAACGTTGAGCTCCAGACATGGATTGATGGCCTAGATGAAAGGAAAAGCTTATCAACAAATGTCATTTGAATAATGAGAGTCAAGGGAGTCAACAACAAACAAGAGTGTCCATGGGAAAATGAAATAAAACAAGAGGGGAAAATGTTTCAAGGTGTCAAGTTCTTAAAAATGTAGTGTTCATGCTGGTATAATATGGTTTTGAAAAAATGTTATATAATTTTCAGGAACTTTTTCAATTTAGTGATAAATTTAGTGCAAATTTGGTGTAAAAACAGCAACACAAAATACACATATAATAACAAGTGTTGTTTTCAGAAGAAAATATATATTAAAATTAAGTGACTTTAAGTGACAATAAACCTAATTTAAAGGGAAAACTAGTTTGTTTGTTTTATAAACTTGTTTTCCCTTTAAATTAAGTTAATTTTTCTTACCCCACTGACAGATATTTTTCTTGTTTTTAGCACTTAAAAAGTCACTTAATTTTGATACATTTTTCAGTAAACAAGACTTAATATCTTGTTATTTTGCTTCGAGTTAATGTACAGGTATCTTGATTTAAGAATGTTTAGATATTTGTAAAGAAATCATGTTATAAGATATAATGTTCATTATATCACAGTTTTTTCACCTGGCATTATATAAATTGCATTTTTAATGTATTTTTGAATACATTTCTAGATCATGACAAAAAAAATTGACTCTGTGCTGAATGTATGGGTTGAATGATTCAGTAATATTAGAAATGTATATTCTTACATCTTTTTCCCCCCACAGACATTCACATGCTCCTCAAATCAATACCAGGCCAGTGTGTTTGTCTCAGATGAGCAGTGTTTTCACCGGCGTGCCACCGCTATTTGGAACAACACAAGCTTTCCAGTTGAGACTAGCCCAGCTTGAAGCTCAGTTGGTCTTGAACCTGATTAGTAACATTGCAGCTGGAAAAAATAGCAGTTATGGGAACCCTCTTGTTCCTCTGAGTCTCTTACAGCCTGTTGGCATTCAAAGATCCTCATTTTTTAACATGTACCAGCCACCAGGGGGTTTTACCCTCTCCCATCTATTGAATTCCATACCTCACAGGGCAAGTTACCCCTCATCATCATTCACAGAAATTAATTCAGTTACTGCGAATAAGGAGAGTGGTGACCTTCTAGCAAAAGAGATCAATCAGGAGAAAATACCCATCATTAGTAACACAAAAGTGCCACTGCCAACATCTGAGAAACCTCTCGTTAGATCCCGCACCAACCATCTTGGCAAGCATTTTGCCTTCAAACCAGATGTGGACTGTTCTCGGTACCAGTCAATGACAGCCAAAGCAATGATTTCTCCTGATAAACCACAAATTGAAGAAGTAGAGACAAAGCAACAAGCAACACTACATTTTCCAACAGAAAACCTAAGCAAAGCTTTAGCCAGCCTTGGCCTCTCTTTTGAGGACCTAGAATTACTCAGTCACTTCCCAGACAACCAGTTAACAACAGAGAAACTTCCCTTCATCATACAAGACATCCAACAACGCAAAGAAACAAAGGGCATTTATCATGGCCATGCTAGATGGAACTCATCTGATCAGGTGGAATCAAACGCTCATGGGAAACATCATGATCAGAGGAGTATTGGTGAATGGCAGGGGTCTGCTTTACCAAGTCCCTATGGGCAATCCTGTCCATCCTCCCATTCCCATAGATCCCTCAGCGCTAAAAGATACAGCACATCTGAGGACATTCATGAGCACTTCTCAACCCAGTCTAGAGCATTAAAAAGATTAAGAGATTCATCAGGTGAGTTTTTATTACATCTATAACTGATGCACCAATGATCCAGATGAAAGGCTTTAACTTAAAATATCGAAAAATGTTGGTTGGAAAAATGGAACATCAAATTATTACAATTACCCATAAAATTACTACAATTATAGATATTATGGTATTTATTTATTTAGTATAACTTTATCTCTTCAAGTTGTTGTATTTAGTGTAAATTCGTCTATTCAAGTTTTAAACAATAAAAAAAATGTTATGTGTGTGTGTGTGTGTGTGTGTGTGTGTGTGTGTGTGTGTGTGTGTGTGTGTGTGTGTGTGTGTGTGTGTGTGTGTGTGTGTGTGTGTGTGTGTGTGTGTGTGTGTGTGTGTGTGTGTGTGTGTGTGTGTGTGTGTGTGTGTGTGTGTGTGTGTGTGTGTGTGTGCCAGAAATATACAGCTTAAAAAAATATTGTATCATAGGTTTCATGGCAAAGAGTTTGACCCCTTTCTCTCTACCTCTTAGGAAGTGGATCCAATTCCTTCCTTAAGAGACTGCAGCATGGGCCTGCTGATGTCACCAGGGGGAGGCCTGGTTCAGACTGTTTTCCCTCTCGTTCAAAATGCAGCATACGGCACAGCTTTGTCTCTACAGGCTGTAATAAAACAAGACATTATACAACAAAAAGATCCTTGTCCTCTGCACACAGATCCACCACTTTCAATTCCATGAGAAATGGCCAACAACAGTCTTTTCCAGTCAAGTCTGCAAAATCAGAAGGAACCACTGAATCTATGAACATTCAGATGCCAGGAACTAAGATGACTGAAAAAACATCAGCACAAACTGTAAGCTCTCGCAGGTGAAACAGAAGTGAATTACAAGTGATTGTTATTAATATCATTATTATACGAATAGCCAGTCTTATTAAAGGTGTTTAAAAGTGTGATCACAACCACCGTTATTGAAATACCACCATTAAACCATTAAATTATCAGTTTGGTCTCAGCAGTGCAGGCTGAAAACACACAGGTCACACTAACACAGTCCCATGATGACAAATTTGGAGACAGGGACCTCTAGTGGTGTGAGATGTGTTAATGTTTCGGAAAGGAAACAGCACATATATGTGCTTTAATAGACAAACTCAACACACTTTTAATTAAGCAGTTTACTTTTTTCCCCTCATCGCTCCTGTGTTTTCCTACAGAAGGGTGTAATTCGTGTGTCTGGAATCTCTCTTGACTACTCTGAAAGTGAACTAATCAAAATGGCATCTCCATTTAGTCACCCTGTTGAGGTTTTAATGGCAACTGAGGTTGACATGGAAACCTGTCTAGAATGGAAGAAGGTATGTGCTATTTTAGAATATAAACGTATAAATTTAATTCTATATATAATATAAATGTCTTTTACACTTCATTTTACAACAAAACTACATTTTCTGTAAAAAAAAATATTAAATGAAATTTTGGTCACACTTTAGTTTAGGCTCCAATTCTCACTAACTAACTATTAACTAGGCTATTTTTGCCTCAATAAAGTCCTAATTACTGCTTATTTATTAAAGGGTTAGTTCAAACAAAATGAAATGAAAATTAAAAAATGAAAATTCTGTCAGTAATTACTCACCCTCATGTTGTTCCAACCCCGTAAGACTTTCGTTCATCTTCGGAACACAAATTAAGATATTTTTTATTAAATCTGAGAGCTGGATCACTCCTCCATAGGCTTCTTAAGGGATCGAAACTGGCCGGCCCAAAAGTTATGAAAGACATCGTTAAAATAGTCCGAGTGACTACAGTGGCTCAATCTTAAGTTTATCAAGCGACGAGAATACTTTTTGTGCGCAAAAACAAACAAAAATAACGACTTTATTTAAACTATTCATGTCCTTCTCTGTTGGCCTCGAGATTTCACGTAGTGAAACTACGCAAAGCTTCTAGGTTGTACGTCACACGCATCACACACATGACATGACCAGCGTCGGCCAATAGGGAGCTTACGTGTGACGTGCAACACAGAAGCTTTGCGTAGTTTCACTACGTGAAATCTCACGGCCCAGGCCCACAACAGAACAACAGAACCGGAAGACAATACAATGCTGAATAAAGTCGTAGTTTTTGTTATTTTTGGACCAAAATGTATTTTCGATGCATCAGAACATTCTAACTAACCCACTGATGTCACATGGACTACTTTGATGATGTCTTTATTTCCTTTCTGGACAAGGACAGTATACCATACATACATTTTCAATGGAGGGACAGAAAGCTCTCGGACTAAATCTAAAATATCTTAAACTGTGTTCCGAAGATGAACGGAGGTCTTACGGGCTTGGAACGACATGAGGGTGAGTCGTTAATGACATAATTTTCATTTTTGGGTGAACTAACCCTTTAAGGTAGTTATTAAGTTTAGGTATTGTGTAGGATTAAGGGATGTATGGTAGTGCAGACTAAGGAACTAAAAGGTGCTTTATAAGTAATAAACAATATCCAAGTAATAGGCCTATATGCATGTTAATAAGCAACTAGTTAAGTGAGTATTGGACCCTAAACTAAAGTGTTACTGAAATTTGTGACCAAATATCCCAGCTAACAGGGAACGTTAAACTTTGGATAACATTCTGGTAATAGTAGGGAGGTTAAGCCCAAAAAATAGGCCTTTGACTTCAAGTCATGATGCAAAGGTCTCCTTTGGTATGGAAGTACCTTAGGGTCATACAAATCATTTTATCCTAAGACACAAGTAAGATCACACTTTGTATCAGAAATAAACATGTTTTTTCAAAAATGGCCGCCAATGCGCCGAAAATACTCTAGAGCCCATATTCAATTCAATTCAATTCAAATTTATTTGTATAGCGCTTTTCACAATACATATTGTTTCAAAGCAGCTTTACAGAAAGTACATTTCAGAAATGTACATAGAATAATATAGTTAGTTAATCATCATGTATTAATTTAGGGCATAACATATCGCCGGCGTTGAGTCGTCTCTTCACAGGCGTCGAGTCGTCTCTTCATAGGCGTTTAGTCATCTCATCGCAGGTGTTGGAGCGTCTGAAGTCTCCGTGAGAGGCTGGATACAAACTGGAGCTGACGAACGCTATTTACCTCGGGACTAGCGTCCCGAGATAACAGCATAAAAGCAGATGGGAAATAATTAGCGTAGCTGCTGTTCATAATATTAATGCAGTCGATCTGATTCAACAGTGGTATAAAAGGTAAGCATTATGTGAATGCTTGGCTGAAGAGATGCGTCTTTAATCTAGTTTTGAACTGGGAGAGCGAGTCTGAGCAACGAACAGTATCAGGAAGGCTATTCCAGAGTTTAGGAGCTAAATGTGAGAACGCCCTCCCTCCTTTAGTGGACTTAGATATCCTAGGAATGACCAGAAGCCTCGAATTTCGGGATCTTAAAGAACGCGATGGATTGTAGGGCGATAGAAGGTCCATTAAATACACAGGAGCTAAACCATTTAGGGCTTTATAGGTCAGTAATAGTACTTTGTAATTGATACGGAACTTGATAGGTAACCAGTGCAGAGATGATAGAATCGGTGTTATATGATCATATTTTCTTGACCTAGTAAGAACTCTAGCGGCTGCATTTTGGACTAACTGTAGCTTGTTTATTGAAGATGCAGGACAACCAGCTAATAAAGCATTACAATAATCTAGTCTCGAGGTCATGAATGCATGAACTAACTTTTCTGCATCAGAAACAGATAGCATGTTACGTAATTTAGCAATGTTTCTAAGGTGGAAAAAGGCTGTTCTTGTAACATACGAAATATGATTTTCGAAAGACAAGTTGCGGTCTAGTATAACACCCAGGTCTTTTACTGTAGTCGATAGGGTAACAGGACATCCTTCTATATTAAAGTTGTATTGTAAGAGATTTTGTGGGTAGTTTTTTGGACCAATAAGTAATACCTCAGTTTTATCTGGATTTAGTAGCAGGAAATTACACGTCATCCAGCATTTTATATCTTTAAGACATTCTGTCAATTTAGATAAGTTAGTGTTTTCATCTGGTCGTGATGAAATATATAATTGAGTGTCATCAGCATAGCAGTGGAAATTAATTCCATGTTTTCTTATAATATTACCAAGTGGCAGCATATATATTGAGAATAGCAGAGGGCCTAACACCGATCCTTGCGGCACTCCATAGTCTACTGACGTTATCTTCGATTTCTTATCTTTGCTTCTGTTATCGCTATAATGACAAATTTGGTGTCAAAGTGTACATTTTTGGGGTCAAGGAATCCAATAAAATTGGTTTCAAGTTTAGAAAAATAATAATTTTCCCCATACCATGACAATTGGGGGTAAATATGCACATTTCACATAAAAATTGTCATCAGAGTGACTTTACTTATCTTTTCGTTCAAAAACTTTAATTTTGTATTTAAGCAGTGCAGCTACTTCTGTACATTACATTTGTCCTAAGTAGCATGAGATTTCGACCAGTCAGGAGTAGCCTATAGCATATCAGTTCCGGCAACAACACATCCCATCTGCACCAGGAGCTGTGACAGCTGTTGAAGGTCAGAGGTGACAGGTTAACACTTTGTGGTTCGTATGACTTTCTCATTAAATAGAAAAATGTTTTTAATGTTAGATAACTAATAACTAGCTAGCTAGTTGACTATGGAAAAAAAACCTTTGAGGGAAAACCTCTTTTCTCGAGAATACTGAAGCCAAAAATTATCCTTATAATTTTTATTAATTTAAAACACACTTGCTGCAGCTAGCAGACCTAGGCGAGGCAGCTCGCGCGCCTATTGGATGCTATGCGGCAACTGCTGCAACCTATCGAGGCACTGCTCGTGATGTAAGCACCAATGAGTGGGCGTGTGGGCGAATGGGCGTGGCTTATGCCTATATAAGCCAGAGCTCGATAAGATGCTCCTTGGTTTTCATCGACTGAAGCGAAACCAGATGGTAGCACAAGCACGGCAGGGTTACGCAACACTCATTCCCCCTTCTAGAGAGAACCGAGGTTACGTTAGTAACCGTGACGTTCTCTTACGAGAGTACTCTCATGTTGCGTAAGCTAGCTTACGCTACGGGAATCCAATTTAAAACGCTGTGCGTGCTAAATCTACCACAACACTGACCCAAGGGCGAGCGCCCTGAGTTCATATGATATGGGGATATAAAAATGGGCAGCTAGACCTTTAGATCGTCCACCAAACGAAACAAATAGCTGTCCTGACCGTCTGAAAGCAGCCGAACGTTCCACGTAAATTCTAAGGGCCCTAACCAGGCAAAGGAGATTCACGTCACACTCGCTGTCAGATCCGAAGAGAGAATGTCAGATTGAAGAGGCAGTGGTACCAGTACCAGTCGGCCTTCCAAGGTTTCAGAGCTCCGACGCATTTCTGAGTGACCCTGAGGCGAAACAGATCGGAGGCCCAAGCTCGAGACGGCACTCGTGCTTTCAGCCACCACTGCAGTGGGCGCATGCGAAGCAGACCCAGCTGGAGTACTGATGATGATGAGGCCATGAGGCCCAGCATTTTCTGAAATCTCTTGAGCGGGACTATAGTGCCGCAATGTTCAGTATGCGCTCTGGCAATAGTCGCGCTGTCATTGACAGCGAGTTCAGCTCTGTGCCCAGAAAGGATATTTCCTGGCTGGGGGACAGCGAGCTCTTCGCCCAATTGACTGTGAGACCAAGATTCTCGAGGTGTTCGAGTAATATGGTCCTGTGTTCTATGAGCTCTGAATGAGATCGAGCTAGAATCAGCCAATCGTCCAAATAGTTCAAAGCTCGCATGCCCTGAAGTTTCAGGGGCGCGACAGCAGCGTCCATGCACATCATAATATACAGGATGCCAGGGACAGGCCGAACGGTAGGACCGTGTATTGATATGCCTGGCCCTCGAAGGCGAATCTCAAAAATCGCCTGTGACGAGAGAATGTCAGACTCGCTGTCAGATCCACAGAGACTTGTGCTCTGAAAAGAGTGGCAAGTACTTTGGGGACATAATCATGTCTTGGTTTGAGGATGACCTTGGAGTCATTAGGCCCAAACTCAAGGCACGACGCACTAACAGAAAGTGCGTGTAAGTCACCCACCAGCTTGACTGAGGCGATAGCCACCAGAAAGGCGGTTTTCAATGAGAGATACTTAAGGTCCACAGACTGTAGAGGTTCGAAAGGGGCACCCTTCATGGCCTCCAGGACCAAGGAAAGGTCCGAGGGGGGGCGAGGAGGGTTCATCCTTCTAGCTCCCCTGAGGAAGCGGACACCAAGGTCGTTCCTACCCAGTGACTGGCCATGCGAATGTTTGACAAACGCAGCAATAGCCGCCACATATACCTTGAGCATGGATGGGGATCTACCCTTATCCAAGAGCTCCTGTAGGAAGGAGAGAACCTCCGACACCCCAAAATCTTGTGCATCCAGGTTGCGAGCTGAGCACCAACCTGAGAACACTGACCACTTGGAAGCACAAAGCCGTCTAGTAGAGGGCGCTCTAGCTTGCGTAATCGTGTTTAACACTCCGTCGGGGAGACTGACGGGTACCCGTTGATGGCCCACACATGCAGAGCCCAAAGCTCGGGTCGTGGGTGCCAAATCGTACCCCCGGCCTGTGAGAGGAGATCTCTCCTCAACGGGACAGGCCACGGAGGCAAGCTCTGAAGCTGCATCAGCTCCGGAAACCAAACTTGGTTCGGCCAGAACGGAGCTAATAGAAATACACAGGAACCGTTCTCCCTTATACGCTTGATTACCTGTGGTAACAGCATGATCGGAGGGAAAGCATAGAGAGGGCGGCTGGGCCAGTGATGGGCCAGCGCCTCCTTGTTCTTTGTGAAGCATATTGGACACTGAGCGTTGTCTTGAGACGCAAAGAGGTCGACTTCTGCTGTGCCAAATGTGTCCCACAACAGCTGAATAGTCTGAGGGTGGAGGGACCATTCCCCTGGGGGAACGTTGTCCCTGGACAGCCTGTCTGGACCCACATTAAGATGGCCTGGCACATGCGCCGCTCTCAGCGAGAGTAGGTTGCGCTGAACCCATACAAGGATGCGTTCGGCCAGTGCATGAAGGTTCCGTGATCTCAGACTGCCCTGGCGATTTATGTAGGAAACCACCGACATGTTGTCCGTGCGGACAAGGACATGGTGGCCCTTTAGAAGGGGAAGGAAGAACCGCAAGGCGTTCTCGACCGCCTTCATCTCTAGACAGTTTATGTGCAAGCTCTTTTCTTGGCTTGACCACAGGCCAAAAGTCGGTCTGCCCTCATAGAGGGCGCCCCAGCCCGAATTGGAGGCGTCTGTCGAAACCACTATCAGTTTAGAGATTACTCCCAGGTTTACACCTGTCTGATACCAGTCGACCGCCTTCCAGGGCTCCATAGCTGTGACACAGTTCTGAGTTACCTTGAGACGTAAACGACCGGATGCCCATGCTCGACGCAGGACCCACGTCTTCAGCCAGTGCTGTAAAGGGCGCATGCGAAGCAGACCTAAACGAAGAAATTATTAAGTTGTGAATGGACTGTGTGTTTGGCATGTGTTTTTTAATAAAAAATTGCATACTTCACCTCCAATTGTCATGTTAAGGACAACATTATTGTTTTTTAGTCTTGGAACCTATTTTATTGGACTCCTTGACCACAAAAATGTACCCGTTGATACCAAATTTGTCATTATAGCTATAACAGAAGCAAAGATATGGGTCTCTCAAGTATGGTCGGCGGCTATTTTTAAAAAATGTGCGTATATAAGATACAAAATGTGATCTCACTTGTGTCTTAGGATAAATTTATTTCTATGGCCCTAAGGTACTTCCATACCAAAGGGGACCTTTGCATCATGACTTGAAGTCAAAAGTCATTTAACCTCCCTACTATAAGGTTCTTCAAACAAACGTTCTTCCAGTAACATTAACAGAACGTTCATAGTCATCTGGTATTTAATAATCTACACAAAACATTAGCACAAAAACATTATTTATACATTGTTCATGGAACGTTTTTTCCTGAAACGTTTTGTTTTTAAATGTTACTATTGAATGTTCTCTGAACACTCTGAAACGTTCCCATAATGTTTGCAAAATTCTAAAATTGAATGTCCCCTTTCGCATAACCAAGTAAAAATGTGTTTTAAAAACGTTCAGAGAACATTAAAAAATAAAGTTTTATAACTTAATGGGAACATTAGCATAACATTCTTGGAACATATTTTTGTTTGGATAATGCTTTCTAAAACAATTATCAATAGACATTCAGCTATATCAGCTTGTGTGTGTTTTCCAGGCTTTATTGATGCTTCCAACTGAATTCTCAGCCCAGGAGATGGTAAAGGTTTACTCTGCCATCCCGGTTCATATGAGACAGCAAAGTTTAGAGCTGGTGTCCCAAAACGTTGACCTTAGTTCACCTGTGAGTTAACACACTTATGGATGGATGAAAATTTTCTTGCATAAATACTTCATTTTTTGTTTATTTACTTATTGGGTTTGATTAACTTTTGCATTAGGTGTCAGTGTTTCATGCTTTTGTGGGGCCATCAATTTCAAATGCAAGTATCACTTGGTCTTGAGACATTTCAAATATTTAAGCTAAAAAAAACACACATTCTTTTTCAAACTTCCATCTATTCTCCATGACTCTTAACAACAGTCCTCACTGTCCTTTAGGGGCTGTTGACGCCTTTGGACCATTTGCTGGTTGTATGTAATGTACCTAACCAGCCCTGTGCTGCAACAGGAGTGCTACGTCTGATAAAACCCTTTGGAAAAGTTTTCAGAACTCTGGTGTTTAATGGAAACAATGTAAGCTATGCTGTTGCAGAACACTAAAGACATTTTTGACAGCATATATAAAAGGAGTAAAAGTGAAAATAATATGTGAAAACATGAAAGAGTTTGACTCCATTTCCACGGTCATTCTTTTACCTGTATTTGAGTCTAAAAGATCAGTGAATTTATGATATTTTCTGTTTTCTAGGTGGATGCTGAACAGTGCCATTGGAACAAGAGTAGTATCCAGATGGTTTTAGAAATGGAATCTGCTTCTGTTGCTCTATCTGTATTTGAGTGGTCTCACAAAATTCCTTGTCTTTATCACAACCATCATCTCTCTTTCCTCAGAGGATGTGATATACAGAAAGATACATCTGAGGTCAACTCAGCCAAATACCCTCAAAGTGTTTCCCCTTAAATGTGGTATATTTTCAATACCTTTGTAATAAAATACAATGAAACAAGGTTATAAGAATATTATTGTTTGTCTTTCACCTTTTATAAAGTTGTATATTTATTAAAATGTTAATCAACATATTTAACTACAACAATGCACATTCATGGAAAACCTGGAAATATCAGAACTTTTAGAAGTCTGATTTACAGGCACGGTAAAGTAAATAATAAAAAATTATTATTATGATAATAAAATTATTATTCTAAAAAAAACCTATTCTTCCATGAAAAAGTAATGGAAATTTAAAACCGAATTAAATTATTCTGGTTATCTTCAGCTTTATTTTATTGACTAGAAATTGTGAGTGCAATATCCATAAAATGATTTTTTTTAAGTCATTATCCAGTAATCTCAATCAACTAGAAAGGCCATGGAAAATTCATTTGAAATCCAGGTCAAAATTGTGAGAACCCTGTACAATTAATTGAAAATCGGATTGTCAAAATTACATAGAATTATTATAGGACATGGTTGTATTATCTTAATTGTTGGAGACCGTTAAAAAAGTCAAGATCACTGAGGTGACAAACCAAAATCACAGTTTTAAATAGTTCACCTCCAAAAATGAAAATTATTATTTTGTTTTATTTTATTGATAGCATGATGTTTCTTTCTTCTATGGAACATACACACAAAGAAATGCATTGAATTCATGCATTTTTTCCCATAAAATGAAAGCATTAGACTATAGGGGTCGCTAGAAGAACAAAAGAGCACCATATTTGTCTGTGCCAAAGGGAATATTATCTCTAATATAAGACACACTACAATGCACTCAAATTGACCTCACATACAACGAACACAAGCAACACATCTTTAAAAAGTGCGCGTTCCCTGACCGGGAATCGAACCCGGGCCGCGGCGGTGAGAGCGCCGAATCCTAACCACTAGACCACCAGGGAGAGATACAAATAGAGCGATAAAATACAGTACGAGTCAAATCATATGGTTTAATTGGACAACCAACACTTGAATATTTCTTCCGAAACAGGGGCAGTTACAGTGTTGAATTTTCATCTTGGTTCGTTTCGCTTTTACAAGTGTGTCTGTACTAAATTGTTTTTAATCACCAGGGGTTGTTCTATCTATTTTTAAACATGAGTGGGATATATCAGATTCAAATCTGGATTAATGATACTAACATTTTAGAAAGTCCTGAAAAAAGGTCAAATGTAGCTTAACGGGTATATGGCCATGCGTTCGATTCCCAATAAATGGACAGATGAAATACTGTGTATCTTCAATGCAGATAAAGCATCATGGGATAGGCTTTAACCTCTTATAAAATGTAATGTTCGCTTACAATGATATTTCCTTATTTTGCCAACTTACTACTCGGTACTATCCAAACCACATTCAAGACGTTGGCGTGAAACCAAGTAACGCTAGGCCTATTTTTCCACTGAATTTCCATGTTTGTAAATCCCTTCCAAATTGTTTATGCCGTCCTCAAAATAATATTAACAATATATTTTTGTCAAATAAAATTGACCAACTTATGAAGATTGATAGTTTTTTTATCAGCTTTTTAAATTTATCCTGGATAAAAATTTAGAAGATTAATCTTTGAATATATTTTACAAGCATGCGGGCCGTTTCGTTAAACCAGATCACTTTACATTGATCGTTTATTCTTGCAAACACGCTTGAATCCAAATAACGTTAGCTGTAGCAGGACCCGCAGCAATCCAATAATCAGATGTTAGCTTACAGCCTGTGGCCGCTGAGCTTTATACCGATGATGACCAACAGTAGGCGCGCGCGACATGTTTGTGTGAAAGGCCCACATGAGCACTCTGACGTAGGCTTGAAATCTAGCCAGGTAACGGTGTCGTTGCAAACAGGAAAATTACCTCTTTTAGTCGACTTACTTGGTGATAGTTAGAGGGACAGAAGCGTTACAATGCCGGGTGAGTCCTCTTAACAGCTCAAATCTTTGAAAGGAGCCATGTTTAATATTTTGACTTTATAAATGCGGTATGCTACTCTCTCTCTCTCTTTGTTTTGTGAAATGGTAGCCATCGCTGAATGCGTGGTGTAGCCAAATATAAGTAATTTAGCACATTTAACATGCAGTATAAAGCAAATTAAGCCCATATATGCTCACTTGGCAGAGTTTGTGTTAAGCGCAGTGTGCATGGAGGCCTAGTAATGTGTATGTGATGCAGTCGTGTGGCTAACACACGCATCCGTCGTGTTTCTTAACTTACCACACAGAAGCCTTTAAAACTATTTAACACAACTATAATCAGTTTTTGCTTCGATATAAGCAAAATAGCCATTAAACGTTACTCTTTGAGGCCAGACAACATGTTTTTTTCACGCGGAAAGACCGCTGTTGATATGGCTCGCTCGTGGCTCGAGCTAACACGCACAACGTTAGCTTCACAGTAACGTTATAGTATACGCTCGCCAAACGTGAAGTTTGAACAATTGTTTAACTTTATTTTGCTAAGGCATGAAAAATCTTCAGCAAAAGGGGGTTGTTTTAATTTAGACTTTTATAATGGTTTGTATACTACTATAGATAGTTATCTCTGGAGTCTTAGCCAGGCCTCACGTTACAATGAATCAAATCCATGTGGAGAAAGATGGTGTCTACTGACCTCCTCTTTGTCTCATTTATGCAACACTATGATGGATAGTAACAGATTGTTACATAATGTTTAAACCATGTCAGTTATGCACTATGCCGCGTCGAAGGTATTAGAAGAACTCAATAAACGTAATTGTGCCTTCATATTGTGGTATAAAACGTCTTAAGTTGGTAGCAAGTTTCGTGCTTGTGCCCGAGAGAATATTATCCAAACACAGAGGGACGAATCCTCCTTGTTGTGATAACAATCATTTAAAATTACATTTGCGTATGCATTGATTTATATACTTATTGAATAATTAATTTAGCACGTACACCATAATGATTGAGGTTTTACTTATGCATGCTATCTGTACTAGTTGTAGGCTATTCACTGTCCCAAAAGTCTCTTGTTCATTGGCATCACTTTTGTTATGTGTTTGTGTGTGGTGGGGTACTATATTCTTGGTTGCGTATTAATATTGCATTTCACACCCACAGAACCTGCTGATATTAACAGTCCAGAGGTAGCAAAGACACCAGGAGGAGGCAGTGGGCAAGGGAAGGATGAGAATGTTGTGAATGGACACAAGGAGGGGGATGCCAACCCCTTTGCAGAGTACATGTGGATGGAGAACGAGGAGGAGTACAACAGACAGGTCAGTGTGAACCTGCTGCTCTTAATTGAATTACTGTAAATACAAATTTCCTAGTTAAAAATTGGACATGAACGCCCTCTCAAGTCGTATTTACCACTGGGAAGCTCTGGTATAATTTTGATACCAAGTTTCCGAGTTGCGTGTGCCATAAACTTTATATATGTTGGAGGTGAGAACGATTGCTTCTGTGACTGTTATTCTTAATTAGTTTTTTCCTCAACAGCTACATCAACTTGTTATTAAAGTGCATTTTTACATATATGAATAATCATTTGAAGGGTATTTTATGTTTTACACACAGCAAAAATAGCCTGTATTTGACTGAAATTCCATAATTGTCAGCAAACTATTTAGATAGCACAGTGAATTTTTGTATGGTTGTCAATGAATGTGACTCTAAACATCATTTTGGCTCTAAAGGGAATAGTTCACCCAAAAATTTTTTTTTTTTACACTTACCCTCAATTTGTTCCAAACCTGTATGACAGTTGATGGTAGCCATTGACTTCCATAGTAGGGAAAAATACTATAGAACTCAATGGCTACTGTCTGGTTGTTCTTTTGTGTTCAACAGAAGAAAGAAACTCATACAGGTTTGGAACAAAATGAGGATGAGTAAATAATGACAACATTTACATTTTGGGGTGAACTATCCGTTAAATGAGATTTTCCCAAAAAATAGGCAAGAATTAACCTGGTGTGCTCCATGATTCCTGTTCTCTCCGACAACAAAGCACGAATGCGGCGAGCTCGTAATCACAACTTCAGAAGTGGGACATTTCCGTTTCACAAATGTCTGACGAATCAGACCAGCTTTGGCTGGTGGTAAGGTGGGGTTTAGAGAGAGTGTATCTTCTAACAAACCGACTCTTTGAGAAATGAGTTGTGAAATGTATATTCAGTAGGGGTATAACTGTTCATGTATTTGTCCCGGAACGGACGTTACAGTTCTGTCCATGCAGTCGCACGATGAATACATTGTCACAGGCGATCCACACTCCAATCCAGAAGGCGCGGCAATGCACAGAAGAAGAGACGATCGCTCGATATGTTTACCTCTCTCAACCAGTGTTTCAACTGCGGAAAGAAATCAATAAAACAGTTTGAGAATAATATCTCACATAGCATTATATTTAGGCATTGTGTTGACAGCAGGTTAGTTCGCTAGACTAGAGAAATGAACTCTAGAGAGAAGCATTTCGTATATGCACTATATTAGCCTATTCATTATATTTACTTAACCTGTTAGTAACTTCTTAATGATTGAATGTATGTTCAAATAAATTTGACAGCTACTGTACAAATGATCATATTTCAAAAATGAATTGGAGTAGAAAATTAACTTTATAATTAGATTTAGAAGTTAATCGCAAAACCTGCCTTGTGCATCTAAATATAAATAGCCACTAAATTTTATCATTTGGGCACTTGTTAATTGTAACCTTCAATATTACAGTAATGTGCAACTAAGGGCTCCCCATATAGTTTACAGCATTAGCTAAGATAGATTTTTTTTTTGTCCTTTAGTAAACTTATATTATAATAGAATTTATTTAAACACATATTCACATTTTTATTAAAAAAGTTTGATTTAAAAAGCTATTTTTAGTTTTCTCCCTGCTCCTGTACCGAACCGTGACTTTAATATCGAGGTACATTCCGAACCATCATGTTTGTGTACTGTTACACCCCTAATATACAGTGTGTGGTTTCTGTATTTCATGTATTTGCATGTAGACCTATTGTAGGAGTCCTAAAAAATAAAATTAGGAAC